TCACTGGGATCTGTTCAAACCGTCTTGATATTTTTTTTTGAAAACTTCGCTCTCGTATCCACCGCAGATAATCTTTCCTATTTGATTCTCTGTTGCTTTTGTTACCAGGTCGTCGCAAGGTACTCCTTCTCCCACTACAGCGTGACAGCAACAAGGTGGTGATCGGTTAACACCTCCGTGCCTCTTCTGACGCGAACTTCCATAGCAGAGCTTTGTAAGTCAGAGGATAAGAGTGTCAGATCGACCATCTTCTGTGCACAAGTTGCCATATACCAGGTAAACTGATGCACACTTTAAAGCTTGACGAAAGTGTTCATATTGGACAGTCCGTTGCTTGCATAAAACCGCAACAACTCCATGCCGTTATTGTTGAGATCGTTAGAGCCGTTCTTTCGAACCACGCTTTTCCACGTTTTGGCATCTACTCCAGCATGCTCGTTATAATCGCCTGTGAGTATGAAGGACTCCCTATTCGGCACCTCGTACAGAGCACACTGAAGGTTCAAATTAGGCGCATAGTAACAAGGCTTTAGCCTGTTGTAGCTGCAGTCGGAGGTTTCTGTCAATGAATCTGTTAGCCAGGTTAGGTTCCACCAGAGCACCAACGCCGGCCATTGCGTGCGTCGTGATATCTGTACCTGAGTAAAATAGCTTCAACCCTCGGAATTTCAGGATTCCACATCTTTGGTGCTTCGTTGACGAGAGTCCACTTATGTCGAGTTGGTACCTTGCGGTCTCATCAGCTAACTACTGCTCTTTCTTTCCCTCTGAGTGAGGATATACTCCAGTTTCCGACTGTAAGCTGCCACTGGCGGTGTCGTTCCCATGGAGCCTTTTCTGAGTGCTATGATGGCATCGCGCTGTCTGCCTCCTCCATTTAGAAAGGCTAGCTACTCTGTTGCTGATTGGTATCTTCCTCGTCGTTTCGTCGATCTTCGGGAGCCGTCGCTGTGGTTCTAGCTGTCAGAAGACTAGAAACATTCTGATTGCCGACATTTCGCAGTATGGCAGATCCACAACAGCCTCTATAACGACTAAGCAAGAATAGCGCTCGATAGGGGCAATGCAGAAAGTGCAGATGGCTGTTTTACGAGACGTCGACGCTGTCTTCAACC